GATCAGTGCACTCAGTAGGTATGCGTTAATGTTTCAAACAGCGTTTTTCTCGTAAAACTGAACTATTTAAAGGACCTGCTCCTCCACATCAGAATCTGAAATGGCATTGTATACGATGTCTCGAAGCAAACAGCACGTCATCATATCGATGTCAATGTTCATTTCTGTAATGCATTGATCCGAGAGCTGCAGATGCAACTGTAGAATTGCAGCCAAGTAGCAGGTAATAGTCACTACCCCGACCAAGCACCAAAAGTCATCCTCTCGAAACCTGCGCTGCTTCAATAGGCTGCATTTCAGCTAATCGAGTTATCGCTTCTCCTACTCCTGGAGATGGCGATTGGCTATTGGTCAACAGATTACACATGAATGGATCTGCAGCTTCCTACTAGCTAAGACTGATCTTCAGGTGTTGATTGTCGTATGGATCCTTTCTTGTCATCTAGCTGGAAGGTTGGTCACATACAAAGGTATGCGATATTGATTTTCAGCTTGCAATTTGGCTGTGGAATCGAGGCCGTTGTGTTTTGCATGGATTTTGATTTGGTTCGTTCATTTTGACTGCGCGGAATATCACAGATGTGCTGAGTTATGAGAGAACGTCTTGCCTCTGGCAGGATGAAACCCCGTGCTTCTTAATTTCAAAGCACTTGCGCTACCGATTTGTATAACTTTATGAGCCAGTTAGTCAGTATCGGTCTTGAATCGCGAAACTAGCAATTATACACTCTTTGATGTATTGGTTGTTGATATCTCAACTCTTTATTTGTTTTGTTGGTAATGTTACAGTTTTGACTTATTTTTGAATTGTTCACTGTTGGTCTTGGCCGCAGTTCTTCAACTTAGGCATGGCCAACTGGGATCAGAAGCGACAAAAAATCAAGTTAAGTCCAAAATCATGAAAACTGTTGGAGCTAGCTTCATGTTCGGTGCCGGTGTTATCTAGCAGGCTAATCATGTTATACATGTGATTGCGGACAATTCGGACCATCGGACGCAGTACTATGATTGTGATTGGTAAAGAAGAAAAGATGACATGTGATTGGTAAAGATACCATTGATACCATTCAAATTTAAGTTACGGTTAAACGGTGTCCCTCAGTTGTGGAAGGAGTAGCGCAGGTGCTCGGAAAATGAGAGATGGGGAATCAATTCTTGCCAGGGGTAGAGGTTTGCCGATGACCCAGCACCCATAGTAAATGTGGTTATTGTATCTTCCTTTTTCACGACTTCATTGATCTCGACTTTTCATAGTTTCAGTTCATTTCTTGCATAGTTTGCATCAGTTTTGAAAATTTGCGTACTTATTGAGCCATTTCAGATACGATGTTCGAAACTAGCCTTGGAGAATCTGGCTTGAAAACTGCGACTTGAACGTTATTATGCGTTTTTGCAATATTGGATGTGTGATTTGGCGGTATATCTAGACGCTTCGAAACTTCCTCCACGAATTCAGTGAAGCCCAGCTTTTTGTTTCGTAAAATTCAGTCCTGAAAGGATAACCTGCACAGACATTCCGAAACTCTTAACCCTGCCACGTCAATTGTCTGCTAACTTGAAGTGTTTGTTCTTACGTGAAAAGCACTACTAACTTTGTATGTTGTATATTTTATGTAGAATATTGGCTATTGTCCTCCCTACTTACGAGCGAACGGTTCCATTCCCGTGTGAAAGTGTAAATCTGGGTTTAGACATGTAGATGCGATGTATAACTAGTCAAATTTTGCTGTGTGAAATAAAGAATATCCAGTGCTGTTTATTTTAATGTTCAAATTGTGTTTCTTTCATCTACATTGCAACCATTGTTTAGTAAACAACTTTTATGAACTGTTCTTGAAATTGTGCTTCGGTGTTATTTACCGCTTATATTCCATTTAGTAAGTCGTGGAGTAGTGCAGATTATTTCATCACTATATTTGTTTTATTACGCGCGTTGCAGCGAAATGTAATGACCAGGTGTAGGAGTTTGGAGTATGGGTGTGAACCCCACTCATTAAAAGTTGTAGTCAATTCATGTTCACATTTTTTGGACCTGGGAAGGGACGAAAATTCATGTGGAACAACAGCTTGTATCGGAGCATTTCTTCCTGGAACGTTGCTGAAAACGCTTGTGCTGATGATAACCTTGATTGAGAGCTCATTGCGTCGAGGCGATGCGAATGAATCGAAATTTCGGGGCGTGGATGGATCGTATTAGATTCATAAGTGAAGAAAAAGAATAAAAACAATGCACGATTCAAGGTGGCGTTTCTCAAAATTTTGCATAGTGAATCATAGAAAATTGAAGCGCATGTTCGGTAGGTGAATTTTTCAAAGTACTCAATGTATCTTCATCCTTTTGGTTCATTCATTTCATTAATCATTCCATGCAATTACTACGCTAGCTCATGAGCTGGACGATCTCAATGGGCCATACTGGTTTTGATCGTTGGACATCCATTTATTTGTCTCATCCTGATCTATGATTGCCATTTTTCTTGTGACGCTCGCATGATAATTGTTCTTCTGTTTTTAGAATCCTTTTTATTCTTTTCTTTATATTGCCAAGAAAAAAATATAATTAAACAGAGCAAGTGCAAATTGTATAGGGCACTCCCTCGGGCAAGGATGGGTCCCTACTCGGCATGATGAAATTCCTCCCCCGAGGCTGGAAGCAGAGAGCTTATGAATTTTGCACCATAGAACCTAACATTAGCCAGGTATGGCTCCACCTCTCAGAAGGGCTCTGTTCCACATGCCTTACTTCCCGTACGGGTATACGGTCCCGTCGGGGAGGTAAGCACACCGTTCTATGTCACAAGATAGAACATATATCTAGCTTGAGAAACAGACAATATAGCGCTTGCTTCTGCGATTTTGAGCGACAAGGTGCACAATTGTTCAGTTGCGACACGAAAGTGCTGTCATACTTGGCGGTTTGTAGTCGCATCGGCAATGCGATCGTACCATCACAAGCGCAAGATGGCCGCAAAGTATGTCCACAATCTAACGCTGCTTTCAAACTTGGCGCCAGATTTGCGTTTCTCACCACCCTATTGTCCTAGCGACTGGGAGCGGTCAACAGAATCGTCCGTTGTCGGCGGCTGCGGCGCGGGCCATTTCGCAGCGTCGGACGCGGGATTAGCTGGGTTTTGAGATTTGAATTTGTTGTTGGGGCCATTCTGGGTCCAGTAATCTATGTCAGAAAGTGACATTGGTTTCAACGTGTTTGCTCTACATCTTTCAATAGAAAATGGCGTGAAAAAAAATTTTTTTTTCGAAGTTCATTCTCGCAATATTAAAGAAAGCGGAAAGAAGAACAGTTTCAGGAACGTGAAATATCCGCGTATTGAACGGAGTTGAATGTTAAGGGGATGGGCCAGTTTCTTGTCCGTTTAACATCAGTTGAATAACGCACCCATCCACTCGTCCACAGCACCGTGAAGTACGCGTCCACGCCTATAGCGCGTGCCGAGATCCTGTGGACATACAGGCGTTAGTCTGATTGGGCGTGTCACCGGAAATGACGTGGCAGCCACCGCACTTGATAGATGTTGTGTGGATAAAATACTCCGCCAGATATCAGCAAAGCGTGTTGGAAGCAGCTTATCCGCGCAACTTCTATCAAGTGCGGTGGCTGCCACGTCATTTCCGGTGACACGCCCAATCAGACTTCGAGATATCGACTGTACACGCCAAATTTTCTTTGTCTTTTTAACGCAGGATGCTCAGAGAAGGCTTTTTTGCTTTTTTGTTTAGGTGTGTAAAAGCAAGCATTTGCTGAAAGGAAAGGAGCTCTATTGAAACTGGTTGGGGTGTCATCAGTCACGCCGTGCTGCGCGCATGTTTGGCTTTCTAGCTAATAATGATAACTTCAGTCTGCACGCGGAAATCGTTAGGCCAGAAATGATAGCACCTGCGAGGAGTTAAGGCCGCACAACGGCCTCCGGGAGCGAGCTCTATGGGAAGGTCATTATTACTAAGCCTAACGCAAAACGGCGAGTTTCAGGGTGAATAAAAATTACTAACGCAGCTCGGATTCTCTCTTCTCCTTCGAAGCTTAGTACCAAAACTGAAAGTTTTGTGGATCTGACGCAATGTTACCCCCCCCCCCGCCCCGAGCCACATCAAGGCAATCGCTCGACTCTCGTGAAAAGCTGAAATACGCAAGGTTTTACTGTCCCGCTGGACGGGCACAGACAAGCCTTGCATTGCGACGGCGACTGGCCCCTTCAACTCCGGAAGTAACTGTAGTTTTTCCATCATACTAGGTTAGCAGGTAATTATCGCTTCTTCATTGCAGTGAGTGTTACCTGGGGAAAAGGGGGACAGTCCGCGCCGGCGCTGCGATGTTCGCACCTTCTCAGCGAGTCAATGCAAGCCACACTCCTGCTTTTCGCGCGTTGTGGTTCACTAGGACAGAAAGCGGTTTCTTCGCCTTTTGCAGCGCGGTTTACGGACTACTTGATTTTTCCTCAATGGTCCTGCCGTGGTGGTGGAATGCCCTAGGACTAAGCCTTGGAGAGGAGAGGATCACGAAAGAGCGCAGAGGCGGTTTAAAGGACTGAGTTCAAGTAGTCAATCGACCTCGCAGCGCGAAACATTTTCCGCTGCGGGAACCTCAGGTCCACCGCCGATCATAAGTGCACACGATCCGCAGCGAATCACCAGTGGACCCGAGATTCCCGCAACGAACAATGTTTCGCGCTGCGAAACGCGGAAAGTTGCTTTCCGTCCTAGTGAACCACACCCCTTTTCGCGCATGTCAAGTAACTTGCCCCATCCCCCATCCCTCCTTCACCACGAGCTGAACTGTCTACTCTCACATTGGTTCACGTTTTGTTTTGGAAAAATTTGAACATGCGGCTTCGGCGACTGGTACCCCCCCCCTCTCAACCAGGTTATCACCGCGAGTTGTCTATTAGTACCTCTAGTTCTGATTTTGACTCTAATCGGATGCTCTTTCTGACCATTTTTTCCTTGTTCCAATTTCGAAATGTTTCCCTAATCCTAAATTCTAGATGTCAACCGTGGTTGACCAACTCGTTGATATGGGCTTCGAGCGAGCTCGCGCCGAATACGCTTACGCGCAAACAGGAAACGGTGCATTAGAACAGGTAATGTCAAAGTTTGTTCTATATTAGAAAAAGGCAGAAGATGCAGAGAACTTTGAAGAGGAGCTGTACTCAAATTTGTTATTAATGCAAATGCTCACAATTCTTTGTTTTTGACAGGTTATGGATTGGTTAATTAGTCACGAAGGGGAAGAAATACCGGATACACCCCCAGAAGTAGCTGCAGCAGCTGCAACGGACAGTAAACCCAAAGAGGCAGAGCTCACAGAATCGACGCCGGGTAGTTATAAATGCAACGAGTAGGTATTGAAATACTGACGAGCATTCTTTGAAGAATTAACATTTCTTACTACCTTAGCTGCAACAAGCTGTTTCGTGATGAGAATAGTATGATGTTCCACGCAGCCAAGTCCGGTCACGAGAACTTCTCGGAGAGTACCGAGGTGATTCTAGCCTATTTCTTTTCGACAAGCCTCATGAATTTACGTGTTCTCGCAATGAACTGTAAGCTGCTCATTTCAGGTCATAGCTGCTTTGACACCAGAGGAGCGTGCTAAGAAGGAAGCTGAAATACGTGATAGAATAAGGGCTGCGCGTGCCCTTAAAGAGGAACAGGCAAGAAAAGAAGAGGTACTGTTTCTAGTCGATAGAGACCCATTCCGGTCAAACTTAATTGTCTGTTAAGATAGAAAAGGAGCGTCGTCGTCGTGAAGAGGGCAAAAAGATGTTGGAAACTAAGGAAAAGCAGAAGGAAATGGAATTGAGGTAATTTGATCCATAGTTTTTTGACCTAGTGGTTGTTCTGGTATGGCTAACAAGGGAGGTCTTTCAGGGCAAGCCACGCTTTTTCAAAACGGTTTTTTGCATATTGTAGGGACGCATGTAGGGAACAAAACCATGTTTCATTTTCGCTGAACGGTTTAGCAGTACCAAAAAAGAAGCATAAGGTACTGTTAATGGTTCGATCCCCGTGGCGACTAAATTTTGCATTTGGGTTGGCGCCTACGGTTTGGTGCCAAATATGCAAAATCAGATGTCAATTCATCGTCAGGACCATTTTGAAGCCAACAAGTGGCCGCCAACCTTGATTGCAAAATTTAGTCGCCGCGGGGGATCGAACCATCAACAGTATCTTTTTTGGTACTACTAAAACCGTTCAGCGAAAACGAAACATGGTTTTGTGGTCCTACATGCGTCCCTACAATATGCAAGAAACCGTTTCCAAAAAGCGCGGCTTGCCCTTAGAGACCTCCCTTGTAAGACCTTATTTCGCGTGTAAAGGTGTTTGATGGATTAGTATTTGAACTATCGTTACTATTCGTTGAACGCTAACGTCTGCTCAGCAAAGTTATGTGGGGTAATTGTTAGAATCATCATTGATATATGTATTTTTATTATTCGCAATTTTTTCAAGGGCAATAGCCGAAGAGCGACGTCGGGCGAAACAAGAGGATGCAGCTGCGCGACAGCGAGTTTTGGAGCAAATCAAACTGGATCGGGTATAATTTATTGCAGAAGTTTTTAACTTAAGTGTGTTTATCACATGGCTGGGGCCGTAATCGTATCATGATTACTTCTGAGACCGTCTGCAGAGACTCGGCAAGGGAAACCGTGAAAATCCATAGATAAATTGCGAATTACACTTTCTTTTTAGGAAGCTCGTAAGGCAAAAGCTAGCGGGCTTCCGCCTCCCGAACCGCCTGCGCCAGCCCCAACCTCAACTACTTCGAAACAGTCAAATCCTGCTCCAAAAACGGATTACAAAGAAGCCATGATTCAGGTTGGTGAATTTGTCAATTGATTACCACGTTTCTCTTCCAAAGATTTTAATTTACAGGTTCGCCTTCCTTCGGGTCAAGCTGTTCGACAAAGTTTCGGAGCTTCTGAACCGGTAAAGATTGTTGTACATGTAGCATAAAATCAAAAAGAAGCATTTGGCGTGGATCAGTGCCATTTTGGAATGCGCTACGCACTCCACTTCATCCAGGATCGGTGTGGTATTTTGAATGTGATTCGGCCTGGACAATAACTTGCAAGATCAGATGATGTACAAGTAGTGTTTTGTCCTCGCGAACGGAGACGGCATCAAGAGCATTGACCTCGATGAGGTACAGGCTTAGTTTGGAAGATTTTTGATCTAGAATAGCGCTCACAAACCATGCACAGATCAAGCGTTGCCCTCGCATTTCATCTCTTTCGCCATAACTTGAGTTAACTCAGATTACGACAATTGCGCATTTGGGGTATTTTGACCTCGTTGGAACGGCGCGTTTGCGCGCGTGCGATTCTTCAGCTCAGATCCCTGGGTTTGACTGGTGAGTGCACGAGACCTGGATAGAACAGAGCAATTGAGCAATGTTCAATGTGATGAGGTTGAAATCCCGACAAAAAAAGGGAGTTTTGTGGCGATAAAAGGGCAAATTTGACTTGCTTCCACTGTGATGGCTTCAAAATTAGTACTAGTAAATATTCAGTTGTCTCAAAACATATATCTTGCCGGCCGAATACATTTGTATTTACTTCTAATACTCCTTTTATGTGCATAACTTAAAGGAAAACGAGGACTGAATATTTTAGGAACTCTGGAAAACCTCTGCCAAACTAAAGTATACTCGACCGTTTTGTCAATTACCTCCTTTATATTATGGCATGTATGGTCTTTAGAATAAACAGAAAATTTTTGGAAAAAAAATGAGTGAAATGGGCGCAGCATTCATTGTTGTCACATAGTCCTACCTTTCCCTCAAAATGACGCTCACATTTGCCAGGCTGTCATCAGTGTGTCAGTGCGCTAATTGAACTAAACCAATAATTAGCAAATAGCTGTCCCCTCCAGGTTTTCTTTGTAGGCGCAACTAGTGTTCCCCTTCTTTATGTTTCGCATAAATTTGGCCTAAAATATTCTGTTTCCTGTAGAACAATTTTGCAGGTTTTTATCCTTGTTTGTGGCTGTGATTTCGATTTTTTTCATCAGAGTCTATAGGGAAGCTAGAGACATTAATCTATCCATCAGCTGGTCCCTCGAACCATGTTGCTACGCTTCTGAATTCAACTGCTTCTTCGATTTTGAATAGAATTTATTTATGCATTGTGCTCTGAAAGGGATTGATCATTACCGGAAACTATATCCTTTTATCTCTTATGAATTGATTAATAAATATTATATGAAGAGCTTATGTACAATTTTGTACAATTTCCAGCTGTCTGCCGTGCGACTGTGGTTAGAGATCAATCATTCAGATGGAATGCCTTTCGGCCTTCTGATGCCGTTTCCTCGTAAGGTGATGACCGACGAGGACTATGACAAACCACTGAAAGAGCTCGGTGTGCAAATTATCCCTTCAATGTGTCTCATTTTAGTTCATTTGTTTTTTAGTGCCTTTTTTTATAAAGTAATCTGTTTTTTCTTTCAGGACTCGTGCCTTCCGCTAACTTTGTGATGACTCGTTGATCAAAGCGTGGAAGCTATTTGTATAACGTGCATGATTGATTTTTGCTAAGATTACTTGTCCTTAGGGAAAAGTTTCTCGCATCTCGGTTTTTCAGATTATTGAAAACTGTATTTGAGCTAAGTTCTATTGGTAAAATTACTTGTACTTTGTCGTATTCTTAATTGTATCTTACTCAAATACGAGGTTTTCAAAATTCAAAGTTTTTGAGGCCAATAAATATTTCGATATTCTTTGTATCCCAGGTAATTTTGACAGGGCTCTTATTTTCCGCTTAGTGCTGAACTAGTAAGGAATTCATAAGTTTTTCAAAGCTGTTTGTCAGACCGGAATGAAAGATTCGACTTCCTTCACCCTTCGTTGAAATTTTCTACGTTTTCCGAAGCTTGCAAAGTGGATGTAGTCATTCGCAGGAATGTTCTCATTTCCTACAAAAATCTTTTTATTATTTTTCTTAATAATTCAGCTTTACTGAACTTTGTAATATTCCAAAGGAAGAGGTAATGCATTTATAGGGGGAAAAACAGTAGTGTGACGCGCGTTTTGTATATTTTGTTTCGCTGTATTCTCAAATCCTCTTGAACGAGTGGGTATTTGTGGCGTTTATTGCATCTTTATCGAGTGACTGGAGAACTCGCTTCTTTGTAGCCGACCTGTGGCACTCAACTAGAAATGTGGGGTCTGCAAAACCAATTTGTGAACCAAATCCTCCAGCATTCCTCGTAATGGTAGCACCTAATGGTAGACGAGAGTGGAAAAGATAAATGCTGGGAATGGTCTCTTTTTACCTGAGGCTTCCCATTTTGATACATTAAAGTTTAGCTGTCACAGAATTGTTGAGCTATAGACAAAACGCCTTGACCCAATCAGAATTCGAAACCGCTTCTCTTACTTTCTGTGCAGTTGCCAGCGGTTGCAACACAAAGGAGGTGTTTCACTGAAATTCAGCTTCCAAAAAATTTGAAGATTAATAAGGTTCAAGTTATTCGAGGAACTCATTACCATTGCCATTACCTTTTAGAAGAAAGCTCAGCCAGAAATGGGTGATACATCCTCTTTGCTAATGATCGAAAAGGTTTAGTGAAAATGGAGAAAGTGGAAAGGGTGAGAACTCGTATTACGACCTAGTGAATACTTGTGAGTTGACCAGTGATTGCAGAATTATTTCGTATTCATATGGAACAACAGGAAGATTTCAGCATTGCAAATTCCTTCCAAAAATCGTGCAAAGGTAAGCATGTTGCAGAAGGGAACTGTAGCGGTTCTTGAGAATGTGAATCTCCTTTACCACCCCCCCCCCCTTTCACTCCCCCTTCCCGCCGTATGTCCCCCTCCTGGTGCCACTGGTGCACGGGGCTATTGAGGGACGACGACGACCTCGACCTCAGCCATTGAGGTTAATTCGGATTAGTATTCCGGAGGTATATTAACGGGGAACCTGAACGATAACTGATCGAATAAAACGCTGGAGGATCAAGTCGGAAATACTTACAGGAAATGCACTGGAGGGCCGAAAGCCGTTTGCCGATGCCGATTATCGTAGAACTAAGTGGCTATTATTACGATTACGGCAACAGAGTCGCTGAAGGACTGCGTCTGCTTACAAATGACTCAGTGTGAGTGCCAGTTTTTTTTAGCATAGAAAAGGATGTCACTTTATCCTACAAAAATGTTGTTCACAAGAGCGAGTGTAGCGAAGTACTTAGCTCCGGCTGGGCTTGCCTCGTATTTGTGCTTTTCGAGCACCGTATTTTTCTACGCGACTGTTGCGGCTGGATGCTTTCTCCCTGGGCTTCCGATAGTATACTTTTATGAAACATGCCTAAAAATTCATAGTGACAAATTCTTCTTAGTTTGTGCCAGTATTCTATAATATTACAGCTCCATTCAAAATCGTAATAGCTGTGAATGCAACTGGAGCTAATACACGACTAGTAGGGCTTGCAGTCTACAGCTCAGTGCTTATATTCTCCCAAACGATGTGGTAATAATAATAATGCTATCCGGAAGGAATAGAAGGCTGGTAGGATTTGATCCGGTATTTCACTGCGTTACCGTGCTTGTGATAGGCGACTACAGCACCTCCCTCCGCCCTCAATGTTTTCAGCTGACATAGTTTGAAGTAATTATGGCAGCTAGTGCAGTTAAAAGAGCACTTAGCAAACATAAGATTCATCCCAAACAATTGCAAAATTGGTTATAATTCGCGCCACATCTACAGGGGTGGCCAAAAAAGACACTTTACTCCACATTTCAGACAGCATTAATCACACTTTGCTGAACTCAAACCGACTGCTCCCAACTTAGTATTAAAGAGCACATCCAATCTATCAATAAACGTTATAATAGCTTTCTGCACCAAGGATAACACAAGAGCAGGGTCAACCGCAGGTTGAACAAATTTCAAAATTTACGACCCCATAACCCCGTACCGACACCACCCGCACCCATCAAGCTGTACCATGGTATTTACTTCGGATTGACCAGGACACACATCCCCTACCCATCACACATCTCCAAATACCGTCGAACGGGGTAAACATCGACCCCTCAACAAAATTGCCATGGGAACCTTGTTATACGTCCGGAGCTCACGAACTCGCGGATCAGACCTTTACCGATTTATCTGACAAAGCAGTCGGGAAGGGTTCACATTCAGAGGCCACTCTCGTACTCCTAAACAATCTATTAAGGAAGAAATTCACCATCACTCAAGCGAACGATTACGGGTATGCCTTCATATTCAAACATATGATGACTATATTCTGAGACGTGAGCACGGGAAGACTGCTTCACTTATGGTTAGGACAATCTAAGATATTTCCGTAAAATCACAAAAGCCCCTTGCATGAAAAGTGACGATGTCGCATGCCAAAGAAGGTATCTTTTTTTTGGCCACCCTCACATATTTGCCCAACTTATGGTTCGATAAAATCAGGCCCAGCGAACCACAAATGATGTTCTTGGAAGTTCTGATGAAATAAGCGGATAAAACATTCATGATCGCTTGTGATATGATCTTTTTGTTCGCATCTTCCATTCCGGAAGGCTGGTCGTAAGATTGGAGTTAAGGCAAACACTTCGGCACTACCCTAAATTCGTGTTCCGGACTCGTTTAACCACTTATCTATTAAAAATTCCACTTCCAATATACGAGCCAGCTACCCTGTGATATTTTGGAAAGTACTGAGAAGCAAGTCAACCTCTTTCTACTCGCGTCGTACATGCGTCTCATGGGCAACTAGCAACATATGACATCAAATATCTTCAAGCACATTAAAATCACGCACGACAACGGTTTTTGAGGCTTCGTCCCGAATTTTACTGAATCTGCAATCACGACTTGCCTTGTCGCGGGAAACGTAACAATCAAGAAGTACTGAGATATTGGACAATAATTCTGGGCCTTAATATCGTAATAAGTTCAGCACTCGAGCCGGTCCATCCTCGTAATCGACAGTACTCCACGACTGAAAGGATTAGAGCAAGCATTGGGCCGTGGTCCAAACCGTTTTGAGATCGCACGATTCTATATACTTACCATTGGTGCTTCAGCTTGAATCGGATCTATAACAATGACTGCGTAGGCAGCCATGACAAGTCTGTTTTATCCACCTACACCATCGGACCAAATTACCGATTCCGAAGGGACGGGAAGTTTGTCCGGGCGACTCACGACCCAGGATCTACTCGGGACCGCCCGCGTAGTAATCGTGCCACTTCCACCACACCACGTCCACGAATAGGGCAGGGAAATAGCAAAATTACAGAGTTCGCTTCTCAGTAGATGTATGTCCTCGCTAAATGCAACTTTCGGAGGCTTTTTTGGTCGAGTTTTAGGCATATCACCTGGTATGAGAGTCAAGTATAGAAACAACGGTCATTACGGTGAAGGTGGAAGGGGGTTGTATTGTAGGCCCGTACAAAATTTTCGGAATCGGCTGAAAAGGACGATCCATCCTGTTACGATCCATTCTTCACAGGATGCCACGCGACTCCTCTAAGCACTCACTGTGCTATCCTCGCTACGGACGCTGGTAGATGACGGAAAAATAGCTGATAATCTCCTGAATTTTTAATGCACTTTTCATAGTTAACATTTTTTTGGTCGGCGATCATCGTAGTAGTGGAGACCACTAACGTCCTGGAACGCATTATCTTTGCCGAACACTGCGGCAAATAATGAGAAGGCAGGCTTTTGGCACAGAAGGCTCTTTTCCGTGGCGTTAATATGAGTCGTTCAAGTCGTTAAAGAATCCGCTCCAGGCGATATTTATCGGGGGATGAGTATATTGACGTTGTAAAGTAATGTGACGAGGAGGTGAACGTCAACTGTCGCCCGAGTATGTCGGCGGCGGCTTTGCGGCTGCGAACCGACACGTCCGGAAGTTGAAAAACGTCAGCAGGAAATGAGCATCTTTGAGCTTTGTCTTCTCAGAATAGTAGTTGCCGCAAGACGCGTTTTGTTCGGTTTTCTTCTTCTTCCCCTTAGCGTTGTTGTCCAACTCTTGTCGGGTACGCTTTTTCCACCAATGTTTTCCAGCGATCCCGGTTCCATGCATCGGCTGCAGACAGGTCCGCAGCATTCATGTCGTACTTCAGGTTGTCTAGCCATCGCTTTCTGGGTCGGCCTCTTGGACGTGTACCGACGAACACTATGTTGTCTGCCGACTTGGACACAGCATCAGGGGGTCTTCGTAGGACATGACCGTACCAGCGGAGGCGTGAGGCAGCAAGGGTGTTGGCGATAGGTTGAACTTTGATTTTGTCTCGTATGTGTTCATTCCGAATGCGGTCTAGAACTGTGCGTCCCA